TTAGTGCATCTTTTACACAATATGAGAACATCGGGGTCAAATCATGGAATTTTGTTCATACACATCTTCTGTCATTTTAGCACAATGAAGCCCTGTGTACTACTGTATGTCAAGTCAAAATTCAAACAGCACTACAAGAAAATACCCAAAGCCCTGAGGCAAAGATGGTAGACTTGCCCCCATTTTGAGCTAAAGGAGTTTGAGGAAAAGATAAGCAACATTATTGACATAAAGAATGGGTATAAGTGGAGGTGCTGCTGCCACTTTGTATTCAGAGCACCGATTCATCTTCTCATTCCCAGCATTAGGAAGTAGGTCAGCGGAAGAGGAGGAGGAAGAACATGATGAAGGCCAAGTAGAAAGCAGAGAACCAGCTACTCCTGCTGCTGCTTAGATGTTTCATTCTGTAAAGATATGTTGTGTTGTCACTTTTCTGTGCTAATTTTACTCCTCAGCCAATAACAAATGAGCAACGCTTGCAGCAAAAAAATAAAAAGAAAGAACAAAATCGAGCCATTTTGTTTATTTCGATTTTCACAACTTAAATCCTGGTGACACAAAGAGAAAAGCTTATAAATGGCAGCTTAGTTACAACTTTTATTTACTTATGCATACAGCTTTCTTCAACCATCACCAACCAACAGGCAGAGCTTTTCCTCTCCAATCAGATTCTGAGGCAGCCGAAAGAACAAAGAATGGGAGGAAAGACAAGCTGCAACCATAAAACAAGAGGATGGCAGAGTATTTTTAGACTTAGAATTATACAACTTTTACTGTCATTTTGTATCCATAGGTTGTATACAAAACGAAATTTCGTTTTCCATTCTATGAAGTGCAGCAGTGATCAAATTGATATGGAGGGTCAGAGCATTAAATACGTATGGTGCGAATATTTTAAAGAAAACTGATAAATAGATCTCAGTTAAAGGTATTAAAGAGGATTTTTCTCAGAAAAAGTGTCCAGATTCATCTAAAATGATTTAAATGATGGATGGCACTGTTGCACTTATGGTCCCCCCCAAAAAATGTTTTATCCATAAACTCTGGCCATGGTGGTGCCTACAAAACATTAGCTGATCTACTTTGCCTACTGTTGAAAGTGGATACTTGTTTGTCAATCAAATATTTTGTGTACGGAACCCAATTACTTTATGTAGGTAGGCTCCAAGCGTAACTTATCCGCTGTTTGGCTAGCAGTCCACCATTACACCGCACGAATAAGTACTGCTATGGTTGTTTACTGCTGCAGCTATTTGTTTACTCTTTTGTGTAACCTGGAGCGTCAATAACTGAAAATAATCCTGACAAACCTAACCGGAAAAGATGTAGTTGAAAAAAGGATAGAAATTGGGAGAGAATGTAGCTGCTAAGTGTGTGTTTAAGATCTTCTTTCTTTTATTTTCAGAGATGGCGTGCTGAGTGAAATGGTTTATTGAATAAAATAATAATAATTCATCCCAAACTAAATTGTAGCAGCAAGAACACACTAACAAATAACGCCGGCAGACACCTCTTCTTCTTATGGAGATTTTCTGCTGACTAGGAGCATCCTGGCACTTTGCTGCCACTCAAGGTGAAATACAAAATAACCAGCAGAGGCATTTCCAGCGTAGAGATCTTTTATAAAGGAGGGGCCACTGACGCATGCGCAATATTCAAAAATACACAAGCAGCCGTTGGACATATCTTCCACAACATAATCCTCTTTCCTGCCTTTAAGCCCTTGGCTCACATTTCCTTTTGCAGACAACTGTTTCTGGGTTTCACAAATGAGGATCATTCCTGCAAGTTGTTGGGCCATGGATGGAGGAAGAGCAGGAGGAATAGTCTGACTTATATAACCAGATGATACCAGGGATGGGGGAGCAGCAGCACGCTGGCACTGACAGATCCAAAGAAGCAGAATACCAGATTGGTTGTACTTGTTATTCAGCAACACTGAGAAACACACTTTACTGCATACAGTATGTGGTAATTGTGTAAATGAGTCACTCTAATGCATATGCTCTGCAGTTATTGAGTGCTGCCACAAACTCTCAAATGAACTCAGTTCTGGACTTTGAATGGCCAGTCTAACGTAAATTTTCTTTTAACAACCTCTTCCTTTTTGCAACTTCTCCATGAAGGCCTTTTGTGAAGTGCAGAAACAACAGCTGTCCTGAAACCAAATTCCTTCACCTGAGGTATTAATCTTCACAGATCCTCCAGCTACCATGGGCCTCTTGTTTATTTATGTGATTAATGCTGTGCTTGTCTTGTGTAAATATGTAAATGGGCCTGAATGTTAATCAATTCAAATTTTTTTAATATTTGTGTAGGAATTCATCATGCATTTTCCTTCAACTTCCTCTAACAATTACAGCTGTACCGGGACAAAAGCTAAAATAAGGCAGAGAGGTATATATATATATATATATATATATATATATATATATATATATATATATATATATATATATATATATATATATATAAATAGGTTGGCAAGTATTTAAATGTTGTACTATTGTGGCACTTCTATGAGAAAGCTGCATGTGTCCTTTGGCATGAAAGTGCACTTGTCACTTTTTAATTCGACAA